GATACTTGAAAGATGTCCTTCCATTGTCTTATAGCTTACATAGTTTTAAACAAAAGGAGTGATTTAATTCTCTTCCTAGTTCCTTTGTATATAAAGTGTGTTTCTCCTCTGGCTGCCTTCAGGATTTTCTTTGGTTTTGAGCAATTTAACTGATATGTCTAGGACTTATTCTGTTAGGATTCTTGAGTGTGTGGTTTGATGTCCTTCATTATTTGTGAAAAATTCTCATTCATTATCTCTTCAAATATTTTTTCTGCTCCCTTTCTCTCCTTTCTTGGATTTTAGTTACCGATATGTTAAACTTACATTATATCCAGCAACTCTTACATATTGTGTTCCTTTTATTTCACCCTTTTTTAACTTTGTTTCAGTGTGGATAGTTTCTGTTGATTTGTCTTTAGGGTTATTGATTATTTCCTCAGCTGTGTCTAGTCAACTAATGAGCCCATTGATGGAATTTTTCATCTCTGATATTCTTTTTTTATAGCATTTCCATTTTACTGTTTCCTATAGATTCCATCTATCTGCTGAAATTTGTCATCTGTTTGAATATGTTGGCCGCTTTTTTCTCTAGATTCTTTAACATAGTAAGCATAATAATTTCAAAGTCCGTGTCATATAGTTCCAAATTTCAGATCATCTCTGAGTCTGTTTCTGTTGATTGCTTTGTCTCTTGAAAATGGTCTTTTGTTTTTTTGTTGGTTTTTTGTTTGTTTGTTTTTTGCTTATTTTTTGCTTATTTTTATGTGTGCCTCCTCATTTTCTTAATTAAATTCCAGTCATCTTCTGTGGAACTGGGGCACTGAGATCAGTAGCATTTCTGCCATTGTTATGGGAGGTTGTGTCAGTTTAGTCAGAAGCTGGGCTGGGTCTGGCTTTTATTATTGCTGTAAGTTCTGTCAGTTCACCATAGCTTTCAAATTCCTCCAGCAGTGGGCTGGTGTTGCCTAGGCTTGGGGGCCTAGATGCCGGAGGGTTTTTCTCAATGTTAGTATTCCACCCTCAGCTTTCAGTCACCTTGCACAGCTAAGCCACAGAGTGGTTCTCTCTCTACACTCTTGCAGCTCCCCAAGGGGTAGACTGCTGCCGTTTATCATTCTGTTGTGGCTTAAGGCAGTGTTCTCTATTGTTCTGGTAAGCCTGTCTTAGGGAGGCCCTGTGTGCCTTTTTCATCATTCCTGTTCCTTCTCTCTCTAGCAGCTGAGCTCTGCCTTGCATCTGTGAGTGGTTTTAAAGAGTGTGCTGCGTCTCCCCCAGCAGTGGGCAGCCTCTACTTGGTGACAGTATGGCCAAAGACTCTTCTCTGCTCCTCCCCCAGACGTAGAGAGGTTTCTTTTCCTGTGCCCTAGGGGTGACGGGCTTTGTGCTTATTCCTAGTGGCTTAGGCTTTGCTACATAGGAGGTTTTTGGAGAGTGCAGAAAAAGCTATTTACACTAATGGACAATTTCACAGATGCTATTAAAAGGATTCTTATTCAGTGGGATCTATTTTGATCTTAGTTGTTTAAAATAACAGAGAATATTTAAAAACTGGATTGCAGGTCATTTTCATTTCATATTTCATTTGCTGATTTTTTTCCTCCTTTTTGAAAGTATTTCACTAGTCCTTGTTGACAATTATGAGGGGTTTTGCCTTTAAAAATACTCATTCCCAAAGCCTTTTTAGCTTGTGGCATTGTCCTTTTTTATTTTTAATTTGTGACTGTTGAAAGTCAGTGATACTTAAGTTCACTTTTAATTTAAAATTGAAATGTTCATGATTGCAACATTCTTGTTAGAAGGAACAAAACTGATACCCATACTCAGTGATATAACTGTGTGCTTTAGATTTTAAAATCCAAGGTAAACAGCATAAATTATTAATCTGACTCTTGTTAGTTTAATAGACATTATAATTGCAGACTACTTTTTTTTTTAACTCTCAGTTTATTTGCAAAAACAAACTCTTCAGCCCTCAGTGAAATGATCTGGCAGGGTAAAAACTTCTTGAGAAACTGTGTAGCGTGGACTACTTGGGTCCCTAATTAGTTTCACATCTTATAGTGTGTGACTTGGGACAAGTTACTCAGCCTCTTTATGCCTCAATTTCCTCATCTAAAGTGAAGATACTAATAGTACCTACCTCAGGCTTATGAGAATTAATATATGGAAAGCACTTAGAACAGTTCTTGGTATATAGAAAGTACGTGTTATTGTCATCGTTTGCTGTAAGATAGGGTCACCTCGTAAAAGTCACAAAAAGATGTTGATAGGCTGAACCAAACCAAAAATGGAAAAGGCAGGGGACTGGGAAAAAAACTAGTAAGACATTATTCAGCCATAGGCTATTCCAGGGGCCACAGGGAAGGAAGGGCTGAAGGAGTGAACCTAGCCACACATCATGGAGCAGAAAGCCATGCTACATTTGATCAGATCCCTGTTTTTCATCACATCTCAGAATGCTTGGGTACTTGAAGCCTGAGCTAAGTCCGTGGGGCAGAGGCAGAAGGGAAGGGTAAGAGAATGGGCCAGAAGAGCACAGCTCACTTCTAGTTCCTTCATTCTGATCAGAACACTAATAATCTGGAGTCAGACTCACTAATTATTGGATTCAGATTCCAGGTTTACCTGTGTGAATTTCAACAAATTATTTAACCCCTTTGAATTTCAGTTTCTTTGTAAAATAGAGATAATAAGACTTCCTAAGGTTGTTAAGTTAAAGGAAATAATCCAGGTAAGGTGCTTATTAGCTCAGTGCCTTAAACATAGGAAATGTTCTGGATGGTTATCCTTTTCACCACCCCCCCAGTCCCCCACCGTCATCGTCATCATCAGTTGATCTGAGAATCGCAAACACGTGAGTCCTGACCTGATATAGCACCCACTTCTATACTTTTTCTCATTCCTTGGGCTTCTACAGGAAGTAAGTACACAGAGACCAAGCCCAGACAAATGCTCACACTTTATAGTTGGCAGCTTGTGCCTTCGTGTAGCAGACCCTGCTGAGCTGGTCTGGCCTCTTTGGAGGACTAGGTAACACAGACCTGATGTGGTCTTTCACTCAGATATACCCCAACACAGCTCTCTTTCAGCAGAATAGAGGCTTTAAGCGCATGGCACCTTCTAATAGTTACAGTTTTACTTCTAACCTTTATGCCTTTGCTTCTTTTTCTTACTTGTTGCACAAATTAGGACCTTCATATGGTGCTAAATAAAGATGTTGATAGCAGATATTCTTGTCTCATTTCTAGTCTCAGGGGAAATGTCTTAGTCAGCTCAGGCTGCCGTAACAAAATACCACAGTTCTGGAGGCTAGAAGTCCAAGGTCAAGGTGCCAGCATGGTTGGTTTCTGGTGAGAGCTCTCTTCTGGTTTATAGACAGTCACCGTCACACTTTGTCCTCACATGGTGGTGGCAAAATAAAATTTAAAAATTATGAAAAGCTTTTGATCTGCTTTTAAGGTGATTAAGTACAGACGGAGTCCCCGTAATATATAGATGGCAGTGTCACTTTTAATACGGTTTAACTTGATAAAAATATTTCGCTATGAAAAATTAAATTGAAATAAACTGCTTTCCTTTAGATTTCATAGGATAGCAATTAAGAACACCGAGAAAGAGATAGCATATGAACTAGGTATTTGTGTTGGACTGCTGGGTTCTGATTCTAGTTCCTTCATTTCCTAGCTCTATGATCCTGCCAAGTTACCTAACCTCTACTCCTCAGTTTCTTCATCTGTAAAAAGGGCCTGATACCACTGATCTCCTGGAGCTTTTGAGAAAATTTAAGTGATAATCTCTGTAAAGTAGTTGGCACATAGCAACCACAATTTATTGAGAACTGTCATCATTATTTTTGTTATTTTTAAATCAAAATACACTTGAAAGAAATAAAGATGAAAAATTCCTTCTAGACATAAACTATTTGACGTTAAATAAAATACAAATAAAATAGCCTTGCCAAGATACTTCTTTTAGCATAAGATATGTCAGACCAAATTATTTTAAATTGTCTCGATTACATGTAAAAGTACCCTCAGAATACAGCTTAAATTAAAATTAAATATTTTAACAATAGAATTAGTAAAACAGCTTTGTCACGTTGTAGTAAGTTGTAACGTCAGTCTAAAAAAATTGTCATTAGTTTTAGTAAACAGAGCTTGTAATTGTAATATATTGTACTCCTAGCTTTTTTGCATGTCAGCTGTATCTTTGAAAAAGTTTCACAACCAATTAGTGTATTTTTTTTATTTTGCTCCTGAGAGAGTTTTTTTTTTTAAAGATTGGCACCTGAGCTAACAATTGTTGCCAATCTTCCTTTCCTTTTCCTTCTCCCCAAAGGCCCCCAGTACATAGTTGTACATTCTAGCTGTGAGTGCCTCTGGTTGTGCTATGTGGGACGCCACCCAGCATGGCCTGATGAGTGGTGCCATGTCCACGCCCGGGATCCAAACCAGTGAAACCCTGGGTTGCCGAAGTGGAGCGCACGAACCTAACCATTCAGCCACAGAGCCGGCCCCAATAATGGTTATGATGTATGTCTGAGTCTAAAGGCTAACACTGGTGGAAATACACATTTATTAAATTATTAAAAGATATAGTTTTTTCATGAGAAATTGTTCAAAGAACCTATTATTAAAGCATATAATCTAGGTGATTAGTGCTAGGTATTTGACTAGCGCAGTTCCTTTGGAGAGTATGTATCAACACATTTCTTCTATCACGTAAAATAAGAAATCAAATATTTTAAAACATTGTGTCCAGAGATGCAGTGGGACATATTGTTATTAAAAACACTTTGGATTTCTGTGAAATCATTACAGGTAAGTTTATAAGTCTAAAGAACTTTCACAAGGAAAATGGAAAATTTTCAAAAACAACTTAAAACATTACAAATATTTATATCAGATGATTTACAAACATATTGCTGTCCTCCCTTAATTTAAATTTCTGAAACAATTGGAGTGTTTGTATGAATCAGACATGTGTATATAATAATGACTGTTTATTTTTTTATAAAGGTTCAGAGGTCCAACGAGATGACATTCTGTGGATAGCCATGGCAGGGACTCATCAGATATGGGCACTCCTGTTGGACTCTGGCAGACTACCAAAGAAAAAGTAAGTGGCAACATCTCCTTTTGGGTAACTGCACAACTTGAAGTTCACGGACTTCCCTTTCTCAAAGTCTCCATCCTCACAACACCCATTGTACTAGTCAGGATACACGCTGGGCTGTACTACGGTAACAAACAACCCAGATGCTTGGTGGCTTAAGACAGGGTTTGTTTCTTGCTGACTCACGTGGCTTCACTGGGGAGCACTCCTGCCCCCCAGGCTGCTGAAGCAGGCACCATCAGGAGCTTTGCCAGGCAGCCTGGCAGAGAGAGAAAGGTGATGATTTGCTCACTGGCTCTTAAAGCTTCTCCTCAGAAGTAATGCCTCACTTCTGCTTACATATCATCAGCCAGATTAAGTCTCATGGGCGCACCTAACTTCAAGGAACCTGGGAAGAGCTGTCTCCCAAGCATCCAGAAAGAGGACGGGAAGTGTTTGGTGGGTGCTCGTCTCTTTAATGCGTAGTTCACATATCCCCGATCACTAATTCAGATATTTGAGTACTGCGTAGCAGGGTGGTTAGTAGCTCAGGTCTGTAGTCAAGCCTGAGATTGAATCCTGGTTTTGCTACTTATCAGTGTGAGCTTAGGAGAACCGCTTTAACTTTCTAAGCCTCAGTTTCCCTATTTCTATCTACCTGATAGACTTATTTTGAGGATTAATATGTGTGAAGAGCTCAGCCTGGTGCCTGGCATATATATACACTAACTGTAGGTGGCTTTGCAGCCACTGTTGGGGATATAAAGATGAAAAGGCAGCGTCTACAGAGTGTCTTACATCTTTTCTGTAGAGCCTCTCCTCTTTTCCCTCACACCCCAGGTAGATCGACCATACTCTTCTCTGTGACCTCACTGTGCTCCCTCTGAGTTCTGTCACTGCACTAAGTCCATTCTCTCTTCCCTCCCTTCCTTCTCTCTTTTTCTCTCTCCCTCTCCCCTCTCTCCCCCTCCCTGTTTTCAGTTGCACTTATTTGTTTACGTAACTATTTCCTCCTACTAGACTGCCTCTTAAAGGAAAGGACCCTTTCTCATTCGTTTCTGTGTCCCCTGTGCCTAACACAGTGTCTGGTACCTAATAGCTCAGGAGGGGTTTGCAGAATAAATAGATGAATGAAAGTCATAGACCATAAAGACTGTTAAATCACCATAGAAAGTAAGTGCGGGTCATCTCCGTTACCTTTATCAGTAGAAAGGAGCAGTTGTGTAGTAGATAATCAGAAATATCAGATATTCCAAATAGTGTATGTGTTGCTTTATATGACGTTTTGTAAAATTTAATCATCTAACAAATTTTTATTAACTATGCTATGTGCTAGGCACTATGCTAGGTATTAAGGACGAAACATGTTCGCTATGTTAAGAACAAAATGAAAAGACATGGTTGCTGCCCTCAGTGAGCTTACAGAGGAAGAATCAGATCAGCAGACAAACAAAAATAGTTGGGAAGAGCAGGTACTGTGTATAGAAGGAATCACTACAGTAAGCCTTTAAGTGGAAAGTGTCCCTTATGTAAATGAGAGGAACACTCAGTATCAATAAGAGTTGAAGTATCAAGGAAGGCTTCCTGGAAGAAGCTACTAAGCTATCGCTGATAGAAGAGTAGGAGTTAGACAGGGAGTGTGGAGGTTTTCCAGGCAAGTAAATGACACTAGTGATATCACTAGAAGCCAGATCACGGAGTGTCTTGTGAGTCCTTTTAAGAGATTTGAATGTTATTTTAACATTATTCTACTTGCTTTTATGGAAAGTTTTAAGCTGAGAAGTGACATGTTAGACTTGTGTTTTTGAAAGAACACTTGCAGCATTTGGAGTGGGACCATGCTAGAGACAGAGATACCACTGAGGAAGCTATTGCTGTTATCCAGGCAAGAGATGACAGTAGCCTGACAGTGAGGTGACCAGTAACATTTTATGTGAGCGAAATGACCAGAATATGCTGTTCTAAGTGATGGCTGTTTTGGACCTAGATGGTCAAGAGTGGACTTAATTTCGAAATAAGTAATGATCACTCTTGTTCGTAGTAGAAAAATGTCCAATCAGATCACGTTGACCTGTGTCATAATTTTAAGGATGACTTATCTTTATTTGTTGCTGATCTTCAAGTGGTAATGACTCCTAACATTTTAGAAGTTCCTGTTTCTCCCCACTCTTCCTACCTTTTATTTGGTTAAGGGAACTCTTTTAAATTGTGAAGACTCCCGTAGTAATTACCTTTTAATTATTTGTTTGGCATGTTAGTTATTACACGTATTTCTCTGACTACATAAATTCCTTGAGTAAGTGGCCATGTTTTATACTCTCTGTATCGCTTGCCTCCATCCCCTGCTCCCCACTTAACTTCGCAGTGGGAACATATCAACCAATAAGTGATTAACGGTCATTTTAGACTTCTGCATGTTGTGCCGTATTTGGAAATGATACACATATAGTCTCTCATTATAGTGCATCCTAGGTCAGCTTCTTCCCTTCCCTCAACACAAGACACCACCATGTCTTCCTTCCAATCCCTCTGGCATAGACTTAGAAACCAAAGTGTAAAACTTTCTCTGCATTACAAAAGGAATCACTGCAACAGACCTTTAAATAGTGATTTCCCTGGTGTATTTAAGAAATGGTTTTGTGCAATTGATTAGTTGAAGCAGCATGATCATCCTACATCAGTTTCTTAAAATGGGTAATGCTTGACCTGACTACCTTTCAAAAATGATCTTTTTAATTCTTTTTGCTAGTCTCTACATATATACAAGAAAACCAAACATGTTTAATGAAAATTTAAGCTTTAAACCATCCAGAGCTAGGTAATCTTTTTAATCCCCTTTCAGAACTGGATTTTGCATGAAGCTAAGAAATTAAGGTGGGATTCAGCTGTACCTGTCTGACCATTTGGAGGAAAAATGAACCATCCCATCAATCATATGATCATTATTATAATTCTGACATTGTCAGGGATTACCTGTGTGGCCACTGAGAATAGTTTCAGTTTTGTGTATGTCAAGAAAAAAAACAGTAAGAAAGGTCTCTACACAGTGGATAAATAAGTTAATGATTAGAAAAACTACACTGAAATCTGACTTGCACAGGTTAACTAGGCTAAGATCACTAGATCTTTTGTTGTTTATAAGGCTTATCACCACTGATTTCATCACTTACATTCATTTGTTTCATAACTAAGTTGGGCATAATATAACAGTGTTGATTTCACCTATGAACTTGTCTTTCTAGTGAGTTAAAAAAAGGAACCTGCCTTCGGTTTGCTGGAAGTGGAAATGAAGAGAATCGAAATAATGCATATCCTCACAAGGCAGGTTTTGCCCAACCTTCAGGTCTTTCTGTGGCCTCAGAAGATCCCTGGAGCTGCCTGTTCGTAGCAGATAGTGAGAGCAGCACCGTGAGAACCGTCTCACTGAAGGATGGAGCCGTGAAGCACCTTGTGGGAGGAGAAAGAGACCCCATGGTAATGCAGATCACTTCTGCACAGTATGCCCAGGCTCACCAGCTTGCAATTTTCTGAATTGTGAAAAGTGAATAAAATTTAGGAGGGAGTGAGTTCTTGGCCTATCCATAAGTTAAAATGGAAGCCAAACCAAAGGAATGTGAATATAAAGAAACACAAGTAACAAAACCATCTAAGAAAAGTAAACTGACTCTACTTGATTATATATAAATGTCAAGGCTTCAGGGAGAGAGGAAGGATAAAATACTGATTACCAAGAGAAGAGGAGATGTAAGTTAGATAGTTGGCTGTAGGGTGGAAAGAGCACCAGATTAGTAGACTTGACTTGTTCCTGAGCAAGTGTGTGATTATAGTGAATAAAACTACTAAGCACTACAAACTAATACAGGTTTAAAATTCTGTCATTTTTATCTAGTCTGAATCAAATGCCCAGCCCTGTTTATATGAAATCAGACCTTTTCCCCTTTACCTTAAGTAGCATCTTTAGCCATCTTAATTTTCTCTTTATACCATAACAAAGTACTGTAAAAATTTTAATTCATGCTGTTTCTTTCTTTTAAAAAAACATAAAAGGACTTATTTGCTTTTGGTGATGTTGATGGAGTAGGAATCAATGCAAAGCTTCAGCACCCACTTGGAGTAACTTGGGACAAGAAAAGGAATTTAGTTTATGTGGCAGACTCTTATAATCACAAGGTGAGTCTTGACAAAATTATATAATACCCTGCTTGTCATTTGTGGTATTTAAAATACTGGAAGATCTATGAGCCTCCTCCAGCTGCCACTCTGAAATATAGAGAGGAAGAACAGTCTTTGACAACTATACATAAGCCTCTTCTGTTCTTGGTCCTTTCTTTGCAAAGAGGATATGGTGGTACTCTGAGCTGGGGAAAAGACTAAACAAATTCCCAATGCCTATAGCCAAAAATTGTGAATTGCAACCCATCAAAGCTGCCTAGTAACGCATTGAGTAAATAAGGAAGAGGCAGGTAGCAGGGAAATTAATATATCAACTAACAAATGAACATTTTTGAGTTCTTGCAGTGCCTGTTAGGAAAAAATTCCACTTTCAGCAGCATTTCCTTTTTTGGCTCTCTTGTATTGACTATTCAACTATTTTTATTGCATTTCTCTTTTATGAAAATCAGTGGAAAGTAAATGTTAATATTTTGTGATGAGGGCCTATAAATTTAACATGAATCATTAAGTTTAACGTAAGTAGCAACTCCTCAGCCAGTGTTAGATGCTCATGAGAAGAAACACAGTTCAGTGTCCCATTGTGAGGAAAGAGAGTAACACTTAAAAATTTTTTTAATTCCATAAATAATTTCATCAAAGATTGCTTCTAGAAGACAAGATGTAATTGAGGATTTTATGTAGATTTTAGCTCTCAGAATGGAATATCCCCTTTTAGACTGTAATTTGAATTTTTGGCTTCTTAAGAAAATATGGAAATGCCACTTCTTTTTCTGAGATTTATTAAGAATACTAATAGCAATCCGAAATTCTCTGGCTTGCTTAATACTACACTTTTCCATACCATAAACACGAGATTGAGCTTCAAATGTATAATTTTTTGTTCTTTCTTTTTAGATTAAAGTTGTGGATCCCAAAACGAAAACCTGTACAACATTAGCAGGAACTGGAGATGCAAGTAATGTTATCAGTTCCAGTTTTACTCAGTCAACTTTTAATGAGCCAGGAGGCTTGTGTATTGGAGAGAATGGTCAGTTATTATATGTAGCAGACACCAATAATCATCAGATTAAAGTGATGGATTTAGAAACAAAAATGATTTCTGTGGTAAGTAATCTCAAGGTGTAAGTTAAAGGGTGTCGATTTAAGAAAGATACTGAGATCTTCACAGCACTGACAGATGGTTACAGGCTGTCTATGGGTGAAAGTGAAACATAGAGGTGGAGTAGTAAGAGAATGCCTATTTCAAGGGTATCCTGTTGTTTTTAAAATAAAAATTCATTTGTGCCGAGAGCATTTGAGAAAGATAATGGAAGCTGGACAGAATTTAATGAACTTTCAGAAAAGAAAGAAAAAGAGGAATCAGACGTGTTCTTAGGTGTATGGACTTACTGACACATACTACACAGACGCACTGTGGGTTGCGTTGTTTAGTCTTGTTTTGTTTTTAATGATCCTTAGATTAATGTGTAACCTTCGTTTCCTATGGTGAATCTGTTACCAAATGATCTTCCAGAGTGGGCTCCAGAAGCTACATTTCTCAAGACGTTGAAAATAAGACTGGAAGAAACTAAAATAAGTTCTAATCAGTTTTTAAAGATAGGGACATGATCTCCAATAAAATTTTCAAGCTACCCCTTGATGTGTCACACTTGCCTAAAAAAAATGCAAGAGTTGTTTTTCTAAAATTCTAGGAATTTTCATGATATGTTTTTTAAAAGAAAAACACAGAGATTGCCATCATAACATTAGTATCATTTCTCTTGACATAGATCTCTGATATAAGATGAATGACATCTTATAGTTGGCAATGAAAATTATAAGAGGAGGTATACTATATCCACTACGTTTAAATTGGTAAAGTTTTACTTTAATTTCCTGCCATCCATAAACGTATTGGACAGTTAATTTAATTCTTTTTCATTCATAAGTGTTGGTACTCTCTTTGCCAGGGTGAGATATTTTTCTGAACCTACAAAATAATCATGAGTACATGTAAGTAAACATATTGTAATTCAGACTAGATGGCAATTAAGTTTCGTTTACATCAAACCTCATTTTTCTTGCGAAGTCTAAAAATAAGCTTTCTCACATTTATTATAAAGTACTTGTGCTTTAATAAACAGATGTTCTTATTTCCTAGCTCCCACTCTTCACATCTGAAAACACTGTGGTAGATGGCCCATTCCCAGAAGAAAAACAGAAGACATTACCCAGACTACCTAAATCTGCTCCAGCCGTTAAACTCTCCCCAGTGGCTGCATCTCCAGGACAGACTCTTCAGTTCAAGCTGAGATTAGACCTCCCATCGGGAGCAAAACTAACTGAAGGAGCACCCAGTTGCTGGTTTCTAACAGCTGAAGGTATGAGAATAATCTTGCAAATGCAAATATTCCATAAACTTGATGTTTAGCCTAGTGATTTTTCTTATTTGTTTTGTAATATTTTACTCTACAGTTAGGCAGGATTTGAGGGAGGTCCTATGAAAAAATAGATCCAGATCTAACACCACTTTAGCGGTTTTCTTTAGTCTCTGAGATTCTTTCCTCTCTTTTATCAAAGAACGGTGTAACTCACCCAGAGTTACTCAGTCATAATTGCACTGTTTGCTACCAGGCAAGTCCATCACATGAGGCAGACCGTGTGGCCTCGGAATGATAGGCCTTTGAACGTTAGAGCCGAAAGACAGCATCTATAACAAGCTCTTATTTTGTAAGTGAGGAGAGTAATGGCTCAAAGAGGCAAAGTGATTTGCTCAAGGGCATATATTGAATTAGGTCAAAAGGTTTGGAATTTGACCCCAGTTGTGCTAGTTCTTAGTCTAGGGTCTTTTCCATTGTCCTGCTCCATCTTAAACTAGTTCTCAGGGTATTAGCCCTAAAAATGAAATTATTTTTTTTAAAAAGACATATAAAATTCAAAGCCACCAATTACACATTTGTGTGTTGTAAAAGTTTCTAAACTTTCCTCTCAATTTCTGTACTTAACTCGTCATGGGTTAAGGACCAGCACCAGTCCACAGACTGTACTTTGAGTGGCACTGTTCTAGAGCACTCCAGCATAAAGAGATCAAGGAGAGGAGGAGGAACCAGCCAAGAAGACTGAAGAGTGAATAAGCAAGTAGGAGCAAAACCAAGAGACGGTGGTTTTTTGGAGTCACATGTTTTAAGGAGGAGAGAGTGATCAGCTGTGTCAAGTGCTATTGATAGATAACGACTAAAAATTTAATGTCATAGAGTTAATTGATGTCCTTGACCAGAGATGTTTCAGAGTGATGAAGGAGATGCCTGATTAGAGCAGGTTGAAAAAGAATAGAAAGTAGGGCCCACCTGGTGGCATAGTGGTTAAGTTCACATGCTTTGGCTTTTTTCACAGGTTTGGGTCCTGGGCAGGGACCTATACACCATTCATCAAGCCATGCTGAGGTGGCATCCCATATATAACGTAGGGAAAGATTGGCACAGATGTTAGCTCGGGACAATCTTCCTCAAGCAAAAAGAAGAAGATTGGCAATAGATGTTAGCTCAGGGCCAGTCTTCCTCACCAAAATAAATAATATATGGAGAGGAACTGGAGACGGCAAATATAGACAACTCTTTCAGGAGTTTAGCTAAAAAGATAAGAGAAAATAAAGCAGTTGCTGGAAGAGGAAAATGAAGTTGAGAGAACAGCATGTTTGATATATTGAGGACAAAGATCCAATAGAGAAAAGAATAGATGATATGTGGGGTGGGTACCCTTCAGGATGTGAGGGGACGGGATCTAGCACACAAGTGGAAGGCTGGCCTCTGCCAGGAATGTGGAAATTTCCACAGTGAAGAGAGAAGGCCCAGTGTGTGACCTAGAAGTCTAGCAGCTGTGGAGGTCAGTGCTTGTGGAAGCTCTTTCTGAATGATTCTGTTTTCTTAGTACATTGGGAAACACAGCCATCAGCTGAGAGCGAGGGGAGAAGGTTCTGGAGATCTGAAGAGAGAAGAGGGTCATCCAGGCGGGTAGGAAGGTGACTACACAAGGAAAATACAGCGTGATTGCACTTGAGGCTCGCTGTCACCAATTGGAGGGCAGGCTAGTCCACGTGGAGGCGGTTTTTCTCAGCCAAGTTTAGCCACAAGGGTGCAGTCTGTGTGGGGAGAGTATTGACTGAGTTGCGTTGATCAGGAGGTCTGCTGCAATGCCAGGCGATGGTCCCTCAGCTTAGATCTCTGCAGTCCCGATCCTGCGTTAGGTGTTCACCACTGTGCCTTCCCACAGTACAGTGACGGCAATCTCACAGATTCTAAAGGATTAAATTGATGTTCCCCTTGAGTATGCTGTTTTTTAAAAACACATGCTTTCTTTTAACAGAGGTAACTTGACGTAGGCACTCTCCAATTCAGTTCTTTGGTGGTGGTATTTATTGTTTACTTTTCCAGATACTGTCTATCAAATGCTTTAGAGCTTTCATTTAGTTGTTTGCTGCTCATTTTATTCACTAGTATCATTAAGACTTGATTTACCACTTTTAAGCCTGAAGCTGCGGTTTCTTCTTTAGAGATGCCAGAAGTAGAATTTGAGCCCCATTACTTGCTTACTACAAGAAAATGGATGCCAAAGCCATATCTTAAAAGTATGCCATTCAAGTAGAAGAAGAAAACATTGTTGGAGGATGTGTAACTGAATACAGATGAATTACTGTGATCAGAATCCAGGCAGAGCCTTTGTCCTCACTCACTGATTTGTGATCTTTTAATCTAAGAACACTTCCTGTTTGAGTCTATTCTCAAAAGTATTCAGTTACGGTAAATTATGTAGGTTTGAATGAGTGTTTGAGTCACAGTGTGAACTTATCTCATTAATTTATAATAAGGAATCAGAATATTACTTGCCGTATAGCAGTGCTTTCCAACATCTCTAGCAGAGTGGACAGCAATTTTAAAGTAAAATGTTAGTGGTCCAGAACTAAACTCTGACTTCCCTTCTCTCGTGATCTTCCTCTGTCTTACTCTCCCACGCTCTTTCACATGTTCTCACTCAATCTTCATTTCCTCCCCGACTCCTCCTCTCTTGTCCCCTCTCACACACTTTTCTTTTGTACATTACCCAGATCCAGGCTTTGTGCCTTCTTACCTTGGTACATTCTCGGGGCGGCAGCTACTGTCCTGCAACTCTCCACTCGGAGTCCACACCCAGAGCGCAGAGAGATCTTGGTAGACTAGCCAGGAGGAGCCTGCTGGGTTAGAGTTTGGGAGGCTGGCTGAGTGACGGAGCCTGTGGGAAAAGCACCCCCTTAGTCCCCATAAGGGAGAGGGCTGAGCCTCGCTTTACCAGGAGGGTGTTTGGAGCCAGCTTTGTGGACAGGAGAGTGCTCAAACCCTAGCCAGGCCTCAGTCCTCTGGAGGTCATAACCAGTCCTCGACTGCCATTTTCACTGTTCTGCTCGTGTCCATTTGTCTGAGAGCATTGCGTCAATTGGAGATGACTGTTAATTTCTCTCTGTGAAATTAAAGAGCTGTGTTTTGATTTTTAGAATAGGTTATTGACAAATTAACATGTTTAACTCTGTCAAACACAAATTAATTAACATTGAGTCATTGGAATACAAAATGTAGATAGTATCAAAGGAAAAGTGAAGTAGTCTGCAGAGAAAATTCTCAGCCATTTTATCACTTGTCCAAGATATTGGCTTCATTTTTACTGAAAGCAAATGAGCTTTCAGGCAAGAGTTCTAAGAATTTAAGTTTTTGAAAATTCTTTATTTTATAGGGTACATTTGTACACCTATGATTAAAGGACATTTTTTCTTCTTGGCCAGTTATTTAGAGACAGAAACACTTATTTTTAGCTAAATTTTGGTCTGTATAAAGTTGTCAGCATATGTGAAGGTTTTAAGCCAAAAAAAGGCAGCATAAAAGCACCACTAGCATATAACTTCACAAATCCTGCCTGTGATGTATCAGAAAAATATCTAAAGGAACATTTTCTGTGTTTTATTTCTAGAATTGGACATTAAAACAGCACAATTTATTATTTTCCTGTTTTGGCTTAAAGGATAAGAAGTTCCCCACTAATATGATGTCTAGGTAAATCAAACATTAAATAAAATAAAACATCCTCCTCAGTCCAGAAATAAGCAAAGAAGTCCAAAGAATTTTAAAGAGAATTTGTAAAGAATTGCTTAAGGCTCCTACATAAAAACTTTGCACTTAACTCTAGATTCTCACCTTCACTTTCTCCTTACTCTTATTTGACATATTTTTCTCAAATTTGATTTTTCAACCAGCAGAATATTAGCAGCAATAAACTAAAGGAGAGGTGGAGAGGACCAGTAGAAGCAGCTGCCTGAGTCTGCTGACTCTTCCTAAGGTCAAAAGAAAGAGACAGAAAAGCTAAAAAGTAGACACACAATTTCATCACTACTCAACAGATGGTCCATTTTTTGTCCATGTGGTCCTGAGTCGTTGATAAGTCATTAGATTATGTTCAGTGTATTATATTTAAGATGGCAGGAGCACATGTCCTGCATTTCCCAGATGCTGGCTCCATGTGTAACTCCCTCTAAAGCTACGTCAGGGTAAGTATTTGCTTCCTCAATACAATATGTGTGTTCCTTCTGAGAGAAGGCACTGGATGGATAAAGACATTTAAAAACTTTTTTTTTTTTTCCCTTCCCAAAGCCCCAGCACACAGCTGTATATCCTAGTCTAAGTTGTTCTGGTTCTCCTATCACAGCTTGGCTTGATGAGTGGTGTGCAGGCCTGCACCCAGGATCTCAACTGGTGAACCCCGGGCCACTGAAGCGGAGTGCACTAACTTAACCACTCCACCATGGGGCCGGCCCTGATTTAAAACTTTTAATACTAGAAATCTTCAAGATGTTTAGTGGTTTGTTAGACTTTTGTTATATAGATAATCTTTGTGTTTAAGTCTTGGAAGAGTTTTATGTATTAAAATGAGGTAGACAAAATCTCTTAGTTTTTACGTTATTTGAGCCCATCGGAATTATGCAGTGTTAGTTGTTTCTAAAAAAGTTAGTCTTATTTTTTGATTATTACGTTTGGATATTTAATAGTTCGTCAGTCCTAACTTGAAAGTCACTGCGGAGTTGCACATACATTTGTATTCCCTAGATTGTTTTACAGTTTTAGTATTATATTCCTGAAAAGTTTTATCTGGTAAAAATGATCTATTTTCTGAAGCATCCTATGTTTATTTCTAGAAATTAATAGGTTTCATTTTTAGTTTCAGGAATTAAGGGTCTATAAACATATTTGCAATATTCAACTTGATTTCAGTAGACACAAATTTATAATTTATCTTACAGTGAGTGCTCAAAGGAAGAATTTTAATAATTTGATATCAAGATCATTAGACTGGGGACTTCTCACGGGTGTTGTTGTATCTTGTTTATATTTATGTCCTTCACACAGAGCATAATGCCTGGCATTTGAGGCTTTCTGTAAATATTTGTTGATTGAATGAATGTAATCCTCGTAAAGTTTGTCTAATCTCCTACTTGTCTTCTTATGCAGTCTTAATAATTTACCTTTTTATTTGCTAGGCAATGAATGGCTTCTTCAAGGACAGATACCATCTGGAGAAATAGAGAGCATTTCCAATCAACCCACAATCTCACTACAGATTCCTGGAGATTGTGTATCGCTTGAAGCTGTTATATCTGTCAGCGTGTTTCTTTACTACTGTAGCGCAGACAGCAGTGCCTGTATGATGAAGGGAATTTTGTTCAGTCAGCCTTTACAAATAAGCGCTACGCAACAAGGTTGCATAGCTCCAGTAGAGCTCCAATATGTATTTTAGCAAGCAAGCTAGCAACTCACTCGCCACAGGCACCTGTTCGCCATCCTTCCCGTCACTGTATCTTATGAAAAGAAACTTTATTTCTGCCTCTGGATACCAAGAAACCCATTGCTGAGTTCTAGCCACTGATCTTAAAATAAAGCTATGCTCCTTATTTATTTATTATAAACAGATTCCTTCATTCTGGGTGTGTTCCAGCTGAGTCGTTGACCATTATTTGAACCATGATTTTGTAATCGATGCTGCTATTTGGCACAAGACTTAAGTCCACACTACAGTATAGGATATTATCATGAGATAATTTGCAGTAGATACTGATAACAATAATGATACCAAATATCTTAACTAACTTTTTCTACCTTTATTAATTGTGAACAGCACATTTGAATGTGTAAATTTCACATTCACCTTACAGGGAACCTAAGATCCAGTCCACATGTCAGTATAAGGACACCTGCCATTCAAGGCATAAGGTCTGTTTTAAGCCAAGACAAAAAAGGTCTTTTCATCACAATAGGGGTTTAAAGAGTACCTAGGTGGTAAATATGTTTGTTGTTCTCTTCTATGGTTTTCTTGGTTGAGATATATTTAAAAGAGAATTTCAGTCTATTTTTATTATAAATTATTTGCTATTTTAACATACCATTATTAATGCCTTATAACTCTATATGGAAGAAGTTAAAGATAGAGTCTCTAAAGACATACAGACTCATTCCTTTTACTTTCTTCTGAATGAACACAGTCTTACCAGATAGTGAATGCGTCCCCAGAAATATTGAGTTTCAAGAAGAGAGGGCCCGAGGGACACATTTCTGTCTGTGATACTATTTAATGATAAAGAATTAATTGTGACAGCTGAATCTGATGTAAATGGGTATGTATGTTGTCTTAGAAATTTACATTTCACCTGTAAGAATTGAATGCAGATTTGTTGAATTTTGGGTTTTTTGGTTCCCATATTCAGAATTTAAATTATGATCATTTATTGTGATGTCTTTAAAAATCATTTTTAAGCCTTCAAAGTGAAAATTTCAATGTGAAGCACTTTCATGGTGTTAATGTGTATAGTAATCCTAATATATTACTCTTTAAAATATTTAGGCTGAAACATATAGTGACTTGATGACACTGTTTCGGGGTTTTTTTTTAAACCCCAAAAGAGATAGCTACTAGAAGTACTGAAAGTTTTTTTATTACCATAATTTTTCTTTATGACTATTTAAAAGTCTATTCTTGTTTTTACTAAAACTGATTCAACGTGTTTGTTATTTAATCAGCTTTACAAGATTTTAAAAATGTCAAGTGAACCATATTTATTCAATAAATATTTATAGACAATATGCCATAATATGCCTTCCTCCCCCCTTCAAAAACAATGCTGAATTTGAAGTGTAATCTTTTAAGCATCATCATCTGCCCGTTTCTTCATGTTTTTTTGAAATATAGTTTTGAACATACTGTTTGCTGTTTTTATTCAGGTTACCTAAATCTCTGAAGGAGGGAAATACATAGATCATGACTCTCATTTAATTTGCACCCCGCTAAAGCTATTTTTAGAGAGAAGTATAAATGTAAAGTTAAAAGCAATCCTATTTGAAATTATATATAATTACCTCATAAACCTTTTCTCTCCACAAAAAAAAAATGTGTTGTTCTGTAATAAAAGGATATATGATATTAATATTCTCTTTTATGGAGAATAGGCCGTAGTCATTTTTTAATCTCGTTTGATTATTATACTTCTCATTTCCAGTTGGACAAGATGAGGATATTTTGGCTTAATCTTTTCCTATTGAAAGACATAAACAGTTTCACTCTCTAAAGGAAGTATATCTACTTTTAACTTGCTAATTCAGAAATACCTGATAATTAATTTTTCAATATTATACACAAACACACATACAGTATATATTTTCATGTACACTAAAAATCCAAAATTATTTCTTATAATCTATTAATATTCCCTTTGTCTAGACAAAGTTTTAGGTTAGTATTAAGCTTATACTTAAGTTAACTTTCAAAGTACAATTTTATTGAACATTCTTATTCTTAGTCACCAGTTTGCATTGTTTACATTCAAAATATTATTTATATGGGTTAGTATGATTTTTTGTAAATCATGCTAAAGCAATATAAATAGGTTCCTAGAATTTCTGACTAATACAAACCTCTTACATAGAGGAAGCAGCAGAACGTTTATTTTGAAAAACTTCTTAATCCTTGTAGGCCTTCAGTTTTCTATAAGGACTCCTGTATATTTTTTTTAACTTTTGCTTTTATTCATGCATAAATTTTTATGTCCAATGCTAGTTTGAAAAGAGTAAAGTTGTAGTGTAAGTCACCTTAATCGAAGTGCCAGTAATGTGGCATTACACGCACTTTGACATAATACCTAGAATCTTTGCCCTAGATTATTCTGCTGCTTTGTCACTATTTTTTCTGTCACTTTTTGTGGTATCATTTCACAAGTAGAGTTGTTTGTTCTGAATTTATGCTCAGGATTGATATGGTCCCTGAAAAGAGTTGTGCTTATCTTGAATATGCTGTCCCAAGCAAATATGTAAGCTATTCACAAGGGAAAGCTACAGTTTCATCACATGTGAGGGTCACTTTGGCAAAGTTCAATGACTAAAAAACAATTTTCTCCTTAACTGTGCTAATAATATATTTAGTTATAGTATTATCAGGCCTGCAGAAAGCTATAAATCTTAAGATAGCCAAAAAAAAGTTTAATGTGTGTGGATCAGCATATGTGTCTCTGTCTATAAATGTATGTGTGTATATATATATACATAGACAGATACAAAAGAATTTATCGCATAATTTTCTCTCATGGCCAACGTACTGTTGAGCTACTGAGTTTAGTTACTCTCTGCTTGTTTTTCCACAGTTGGGAAATTGGGGAAGAAATCAAAAATATGTATCTCTGTAATATACTTTTATGCTTGCACAAAAGTTACTACTAGTTTATATCTGCCAGTTAAGACTTCAGCCTAGCCATTGTATGTGGCTTTCTGTTTAAGAACAATCATCAAAAACTAAATTCCATAGTTCACAGTTACATAAAAATATAGGCAGAGGGACTGTGTCTGCAGTGGTTCTCCTGAATGGTGGAATTATGGCTATTTTTATTTTAATTCTACTTTTTTGGTTTTTTTTTTCAGTGAGCCATGTGTTATTTTTCCAGAATTAAAGATTCACAATGAACTGCCTAGGAAGCACTTATTTTGAGTACCTCTTTCTTCTAGAGTCACTTGTTACAAAGATCAGAACATAGTTTGGAGCTCTTTGATCCAGCAGTTCTCTGAAGTATGTGATTTGGTGAAGACAGGAGTGCTGATGGCCCTTCTTCTGGTGTTTGCTGGTGTCCTGTGGTGTAGTGGTAAAGGGCGTGGGCTTTGCAGTCCCTTGGATTCTAACCCTATAATTGGGGCTACTCTACCTGCCCCTGTTGCTTTAAGGATTCAATGAAGTCGTGTTTGTAAAGCATTTAGTAATTAATGAAACTGCTAGTTAATGGTTTAGTTAATAATAATGATAGTATTAACTTATGGCCATAAACACATGGCTTGACATTTTTCTTGCAACTGCAATTTCTAAAGTAAATTCTTTCTCTACCAACTATTTGCTATGTTAATGCTCTCCACAGAGTTGGGATTCAAAACAAGAAATACAATTTTATAATAAAGCATATTACTATTTTATAAAGGATATTATTTATAAAGAAGCATACTTACAGTTTTATTAATTTTTTTAAAAGGCCTTCTGGACCTGTGAGTAATAAACTTCCTTTGAGAGGGTCGAGACATACTCCCCCTGAATCACATGCCTATCCCGTACTCTGATGGCGCTTCACAACATCTTCCCAGTGCCTTTATGCATTTTGCCTCATATGAGCTTCGAAGTAACCTTATGAATCAGACAAGTAGATGTTCTGTCCATTTTACAGATGAGAAAACAGCTTTAGGATGTTGGTGGCAAATCTCAAGATCTGAGCTCCCAGAGCGCCTGATGCTGGGCGGCGCCTGGGATGAGCAGCTGTACTCAGCCCATTTTGTTGATGACTGAAGGGTGAACAGTGAGTGGCGGGTCTTTTATTTGAACACAGGTCTCCTAATTCCTAGCTCTACTCCTAGATGTGGAGAGAAAACAAACCGTGGAATTAAGAGACTTCTTCACTTTGTGACTGCTTTCTTATTAAGCCTTTGCAGTATTTAAATAAAGGGATAAGAATAATAGCCAGATTTATTGACTGCTTCCTATGTGCCTGGCACTTTCCTGAGTGTTTTGTATGTAGTAACTATTTAATCCTCACAACCACCTTATGAGGGAGTTACTATTTTTTTCTTATTTCCCTGATGAGGAAACTGAGACACAAAGTTAAGTTATAAGCAGTCACAGCGACATAATCAAGATCACGCATTTAGGAAGTGGCCAAGCCTGGATGAGTCCACTCAACCGCCATGCTGCATAGCCTCTCAAAGTACAGTTTTAAAAACATAAATCTTTCATAGTTATATATAGTAACTATTCAAAGAACCAAAAAAGTCCTAGTGATGATTGTTTTTAAAGTTTAAATTAAATCCATTTAATTATATTAGCCTTTGACTTTTCATTATACACACTTATCCTTCAGGGCTTGGAACAGTCTGTATAATTGTTGTTTCCCAAAAGATTTTATGTAACATTCTTTGTTAAATTCAGATATTATCCGGAGTTTTTCTTGGCAGATGGATGTAATAAAGAATTAAATAGCTTTTCAGTGTTAGTTCCAACACTGCTATTTTTAATTGGTCTTCAAAAGGTAATTATAAGACCTTGTCATAAAGTGTAACTGAATTCTTAGCACAGGACTGTCTCAGACCCTGAAAAGCTTATTCATAGTTAAGAAAATTTTCTTTTAATAACCAAAGTGAGCTCTAGAAACATAATATTTGGCCAATCTGTTAACACACAAAGTCCTCTGCTTACTTGCTTCATAAATAACACTAAGGTATGTAGACCTCCACAGCAACCTAAATCTATGCAATCTATTGTAATGTTCTCACCGGGTCAGCCTATTGTTCCGGCTTTAGATGCTATTAAAAGGAGTGAAGTGAAATGCTACATACTACTGATTATGATTCACGATCATCCAGGTACAGGAATCTAGACATCTTTTCGTTGTTAAATAGTTTGCTAACTTAAATAATATTATTAGGATTTGTTATAAAATCCCCTTCCTGAAATCCATAAGGAAATGTACATCAACTTAAAAAAGGTAATAATGTCGTACTTCAGAAGTAGAATTCACTGTTAATCACTAAGATTTGCCCCTTTTTCTCCTCCTGTGGCACATACATAGTTTATTTAAATGAAGAATTCACGCTAATCCTAAATCACTGTTTTGTCCTGAATAATTAAAAGTTTGCTTGTTTCCTGTCTCCTTGCAACAGAGTAGTATAAAGAATGATATTGAAAGTTAGAGACTTGACTAATCCGCCCATGTATAATCCAAGACCAGCAAACCATGGTCCTTGCCCATGGTAGCCGGCCAGTTAGACTGGCTGCCTCCAGCTTTCACTGAGCACGGAGAGCCTGGGTGAGGTGGAACGGGAGGCGGCGCTGGTCAGCTCTTCTGACTGCACCCAGTCTGTGTCTTATGGTGCTGATTTGGTTTAATTATTTTCAGAGGTTAGAGTTGGCAAGTGAAAACCCTAGAGACTTGTGGAATCTTTGCCTAGTTATATTTATTCATTGTCTGGTGTGTCCCTCTTCTTCCCTGGCATGTCACTCTCGAGTGTACCAAAGGATGTTTTGTTCTGTTGAAAGCCCCACAACCAAAAGGAAAGAATCACAGGTATTTCCAGAGCCTTCCCAGCCCGTGCCAGCAACGGTGTACTAAAAAGCACTCAACAAGCACACAGCCGGCCGAGCAACCGCAGCGTCCAGAGCATTTCCTAACTGTCAGGGCCTCCTATGAATTGCTTCCCCTTTAAGCCGCACCCTGTAGACCTGCTGTTGTCCGCTGATACAGGGTTAAGCAAAATAGTCTGATTTTTTTAATGTTGAAAATTGGAAACTGCGTTAGATGGGCAAACAGAATTTATTACCTTTTGCTTTTAATACACTTGATTACATATTTACATTTGAAATAAAGTGAAATGAGACCTCATAATACTAAGAAGTAAAGAAAAAAATCAGCCCTCAGATTTAAATGTGCCCAGTTTCAACAGTATTTTTATGATTCTTTATGTGCTAGGTTCATGAAAAATATATATTCAAGTATATAGGGCAAAACATCAGTTGATAAATTATGGTAATGAAGAATAAAAATAGACACGAGCCTTTCTGAAAATGTAGGACTCTGCCATGTATCTGTCTTCTATTTTTAGAGATTGTAGTCATTGTTCTCAGTCCCACCATAAATATATTCGTTCTGCAAGCATGTACAGGATGGGCTGCTGTTGTGTTCATTACACGATTCGAAACACACACATTCTTGTTCATGAAGAGTTGGAACGTCCTGTCCATGCATGTCTGTGATAGGCATCGTCCACATCTACCTGTAGAACACGTACTCCTGTTCCTCTCCACACTATAGGCTTCCCTCTCTTTAGAAACAGTAGTTTCTGTAGAAGTTTCAGTGAGGAATGATGGCTATACAAAAAACATGTAATTTTGTGGTAAATTTTTTTTTCTAGAATTCCTATTAATATCTCAGTTTCCAAAGGAGAACAGTACCCTATGTGACTTTAAAATTAATTTCTCTCTACTTTGCAGTATGCCTATTATATTTTACATAGGTTAATTAAAAAAAGTTTGAAATTCTCACTGTTAAGATGTATTGAGAGCCAGTTTAGAAATGTTTTCTTTGCTGTCATTACTTTACATGTAGATTGTGGACAAATAAAAGTTTGCTGTGTGATTGAGATAGAGGTATATATATAATCACTTTCAAATTGTAACGTTTCATAAATTTGTCAAATTTTAGGCTCTCATCTTTTGTGTGGATAAAGTCGTGACTTTATTTCTGAGAACAGAGTTGGTCTGCTGTGCTGACTTCATCTCTGTCATTGCAAAGGATTGATGACACTTGTTTTTTTCTCCAAAGATAAAAAATGCAATGAAAATCCAGTTTACAAGTTCATATATTGATATTTCCAGACATGGTGTAGTTCTAAAAGAATTTACTTGGTCTGCATTTTTTAATTGTTTCTTGTAGACAGATTAATATATTTTTATACAACACTATTTCTACATTCATTTCAAGACTATTTTCAGTGACTTTTTCAAGTGCATGTGTTAACAGCAGATCGTTTGGAATGAACGTGCAATGGCCTTCGTTACCAACTCAAAAGAAGTGTAATACATGTGATTATAGAAGGAATGTGTTTATACTGTACACTGAAACCTAATGCCTCTTTCCTAAAGCTTTGTACATTTTTTCACAAAATAGATTAAATATTTTCTCTCTAAAACCATGTTTCTGTTTTTAATATGCTTTCTGTTTTAGATAATTTTAACTGCTTAGAAATTTGTAAGTCACAATTTTTTATTTGAACTAAGGAGCATAATACTTAGTTTTAAAAATAGCTCTGGGGGCTGGCCCCATGGCCGAGTGGTTAAGTTTGCGCTCTCTGCTTCGGCAGCCCAGGGTTTCGCTGGGCGTGGACATGACATCACTCACCAGGCCATGCTGAGGCGGCATCCCTCTTAGCACAACCAGAAGGAGCTACAACTAGAATATTCAACTAGGTACTGGGGGGCTGTGGGGAGAAGAAGAAGGAGAAAAGATTGGCAACAGATGTTAGCTCAGGTGACAATCGTTAAAAAAGAAAAAAACTGCAAGCAAATAATTCAAATAAAATCATGCTATCATAATTACAATAGAATTTTTTAATACATTTGGAAAAGATGATCTACTTGGTTAATGATGTTGGGAACATTTAGAAAGAAGAAAATGGATCTCTACTTGACACTATACACAGAATTTGAAAGGAATTAATGACTTAACATAAAAAATAACAAGTGCCAGAAGAAATAAAGGAGAATGCATTGTTGGATTTGGGGATGGCATTTCTGAGAATGACCTAAAACCCAAAAGCAAAATGGGAAAGACTGATATGAATGACTACTTAAACATTTTGAGCATCTATATAACAAATGAGAACAGAAACGAAAAACTGAAAGAAAATATTTACGAAACTTAAAATGAACATAGAATTCGTATAATATGTGAGGAGCTCCTGTAGGTCAAAAAGAGAAAGATATCCCAATTGGAAAATAGGCAAAGAATATAGGCATACAATTCATAGAAGAGATACAGTAGTGAAAAGATGTTCCATCCCACTAAATCAAGAAATGCAAGTCCATTCATTCAGCTATTTATTGAGCACCTCTTTTATGCTCTGTTCTAGGTCCGGTGATAAATTATCCAAGCTCTTACTCCAGAGCTTGCGTTGTAGTTGAGAGGAGAAACAAGAATGAATAAGTAAAAAAGGCTCATTGCTATAACAAGGCAAATAGGAGAGTCAAGGCCTCACATGGAACTTGAATGATGAGAAGGAGGTAATCACACACCCACCAGCAAAAAGTACATAGGCCACTAGGCCACTGTTTCCCAAAGTGGTTCTACCAATTTACATTCAGGGCAGAGTATGTGAGAGCCGCTGGATGCACATTCTCTCCATGCTGGATTGACAGACGAGTCTTTGCCATCCAAATGTCAGATATCTCATGGTGGTGTTGATTTACATCATGACCTCCAGTGAAGTGGAACATTATTAGCCATACATGTTTCCTCTTCTGTAGAAAAAAAAAATGCCTATTCATGTCTTTTGCCCATTTTTCTGTTGTCTGTGCGCTTACTAACTTGTAAACATTCTTTCTCTATTCTTGATTGCAAGTACTTTCTCCAAGTACATAAATTACCTTTTCATTTTCGTTAAGGCGTCTTTTGTTGAGAAAAGGTTAATAAATTTAATATAGTCAATTTTTTCTTTTTAAAGTTAATGTTTTTTGTGTCCCATTTAAAAAATATTTTCCTACACCAAGCAATAAAAGATATTAACTCATCTTCTACGAAGAATTTGAAAGTTTTTAGGTTTTGTTTCGAGTTTTCTGACATTAAGTCCTTAATCCACCTTGAGTTGATTTTTGTATATGTATGAGATAGGAATCCAGCATTGTTGATTTACATGAATAAACATGTTTTCTACCTCCATTTATTGAAAGGTATTTCCTCATTAAAATGACCTGCTTCCTTTGCCACATGCCAACGCTTCATACATGGATGGACCTGTTTTTGGGTATTAGGACCCAATGATTCCACTCGTAGGCATATATACAAGAGTGCTATATTCCAAGATTCATATTCTAGAGAGTTCACAGCAGCCATGTCATAATAGCAAAAACTTAGAAATAACCATTGTCAGAAGAGAAGATCAAACCAGGGTCGGCGGGGGGCGGGGGGGGGGGGTGTCCCCAAAAGATTCCACTCAGCTGATACCCTTTCCATAGAATTTTAAACAACTAAATGTACTTTAGGAATACATAAGATAAAATTATGTCAAAAAAGAAAAACAAGGAAATAACTACCAGATTAAGAATAGTGGTTACCTTGGATGGGAGGGGGCAGGAGATGAGATGAGGGTGACCATTAGATGTGAGTTTTCATCGAGATCCTAGCCTTTGTGTTGGGCAGGGGTTTCAGGAGTTTTTATTAAGTGTTAAGAACCAAGGATCACAGATAATACAATTTCGTGCACCTGCATTCCATTAAGAAACAAAAGGCAATGAGGCAGGTACAAACTTGCTGCACTGAATGGGTGCCAGGAGGATGGAGATAACCTCTGAGGGTAGAAGGCAGCCAAATTTTGAGTGATAGGGTTCTGATTTCTCAAAGTTCAACTAGAAGCCAGTGAGGAGTTTTAAAAAAGAAATCATGTAATCTATGTTTTAAAAGATCACTATGGCACTATGTGAAAAATGGATTATGAGGAATGGGGCACAGAGAGTGGAAGCAACTAGGAAGCTATTGTTTAATTAGTCCAAGTAATAAAGAGCTAATTATGAATTGGGCTCATATGGGAGAAGTAGATAGAAGTGACACATTTTAGAGGTAAAACCCATAGGATTTGCTGATAGATTTGACTTTTTGCCCATGAAATTGGCAAGATTTAAGAAGTCCTGGCGAGGGCACATGGAAATAGGCACTTTTGTAACTATTTGAAAGAATATAAATTGTACATCTCTTTCAAGGGCTATTTGGCAATATCTATCAAAATTTTAAATGCATAAACATTTTCACCCAGTGGTTGCACTTACAGAAATTGATTCATTAGAATACTTGCATATGTGCACAAAAGCATGTCAGCATTATAAGAGTGAAAAGCTGGAAACAACCTAAATGTCCATCAGTAGAGGAAAATTAAGTTAATGATCCATCCATACAATAGAATGTTATGCAGCCATTAAAAAGAATTTTAGACACCTATTCGTACCCATGTTAGCCAAAAAACGTTTCAGAATTAATGTAAATATTCTATTTTTGTTTTTTAAAAACTATATATATTATCAAAAAGGCAAAAAATAACAACTGTTGGCAAGAATGTGGAGAAAAGGGAACACTTGTGCACTGTTGATGCAACCATTATGGAAAACAGTATGGAGTTTCCTCAAAATATTAAAAATAGAGCTACCGTATGATTCAGCAATCCCACTTTTGGGTATTTACCAAAAGCAAATAAAAATACTAACTTGAGGGGCCGACCCGGTGGCACAGAGGTTAAGTTCGCACGTTCCGTTTCGGCAGCCTGGAATTTGCTGGTTTGGATCCTGGGTGCAGACATGGCACCGTGTGGCAAGCCATGCTGTGGTAGGCATCCCACATATAAAGTAGAGGAAGATGGGCATGGATGTTAGCTCAGGGCCAGTCTTCCTCAGCAAAAAGAGGAGGATTAGCAGATGTTAGCTCAGGGCTAATCTTCCTCAAAAAAAAAAAAAAACTTGAAAATATATATATGCAACCCCATGTTCAAGGCAGCATTATTTACAATAGCCAAGACATGGAAACAACCAAAGTGTCCATTGACGGATGAGTGGATAAAGAAAATGTGGTATATATACATACAATGGAATATTATTCAGCCATAAAAAAGAAGGAAATCTTGGGGCCAGCCTGGTGCCGTAGTGATTAATTTCGTACATTCCACTTTGGTGGCCTAGGGTTCACCAGTTCAGATCCCGGGTGGTCAAGACCATAAAAATGATCATGCAAGCTGAGACTTTGCAAAGCAATCTTAATAACCAATGGGGGAGAATATTCTTGTTCCATGACCTTTAAAAATGTTTGTTAAAACATTAAAAACTCTTAGTGTCAAATGTAAATATATGGGAAAATGAAAAAAATAAAGCTAAAATTTATTTAGCACAATGTAATTTAAAACATTATAAACATTGAGAAAGTTTTTATTTCTTTGTAATAAAACTTACCAACAGTATTTGAACAGTGCTTACTTTCTCATCATAAAATTTATGGTACAGAGCAAGAATCTTTTCTCTGTCCCGGCAAATTGTCATACTCCTTTCTAAGTTTGGATCAGCTACCGACATTTTAGTCATTGTGCTTTCAATGTTGTGCTATATCTCCAAGAGTTCCTTTCATGTGAAGGTTTTTTTCCTCTAGGACATCATCATCCTTTTCATCGCAGCCCCTTTCCTCGTTTATGTCGACAAGTCCACCCTCAGTAAGTTTCTCTGGCTGCATAACTAAGAGTCTAGCAGACAGTGACCACCAGCATTCCCACGTCAGCCATTTCCTCTGGAACTCCACTTACATTCGATTCAAATTTCACTTCCACTGTTTTTCACTTTTCAGTTCTTTGCTGTACTTTTTGTCTTTTAGGCCAATTCCCTCTTTCGATTATCCATTTTTGTAAACTGTCACCTGGCTTTGTCACTAGGAAACAAGAAGGCAAAACAACTACACACTTTGCTGTCCGAGCATGAACTGAATAACATGCAGTGACCAGCCACCAACAGACTCTGAAAGAAGTGACCTTCTTGGTCACTGCCCGTGGGACACGTCTGTTATTACGTGGTGATTTGTGGACTGAAGAGCTAACAGTGAAGGCCGTACTCAGGTAATTTCTCACAGTTAATAATAGACAGTGGTAACTGAAATTGGAATCCTGTTGTGGGGCACCGGTGTTAATTAAACCATAGTAAATGAAATTGGGCACATCAGCATTGCTCAAAGCAGAGACTGCCTGAATAGGTGGAGAAAAAAAGAGAAATAAGTAAATGGAAGAACTCCTAATAGCAAACTCCTAATAACTATAAAATAGAGTTGAATAGGGGCTGGCCCCGTGGCCGAGTGGTTAAGTTCGCGCGCTCCGCTGCAGGCGGCCCAGTGTTTCGTTGGTTCGAATCCTGGGCGCGGACATGGCACTGCTCATCAAACCACGCTGAGGCAGCG